TTCAATCCCGCTTGTTGTCGTGTTAAGACCCTGATCAGGCGTTTGTTGTAGACCAAGGAACGTGGTGGTACGCCTAGGGGCGGATTTTGCCGTGCCATCGACCTGCGTCCGATCCTGCCTCTGGTTTACTTGACACCGGGTTCGGGCAGGTGAGGGAAGAGAGAGTGCCGTAGATGTAACGCAAGCATACTATCACCTAAAATTAATCCACACCTTAGTAACTGTCCCCGCATTATCACTCTGTGGCGCAAATGGTAGACATCGTCAGAATCGACGGTCTAACTGTCAGTGAGTAAAAATTGCGTCGAGTGAATTGCTACCTTCAAAATGTATTTATAGTCACAAAGTAGGCAGAGATCATACAACAGACGGTTGTTTTATTATTGGTTCTCGAGGGACCATTTTCCCTATTCAGTCTACTTTTCTATGTGCAGTTTCAAATTTTCATCTGGTTTGAAGTAGTTTTGATTTTCTACGGAGCAGATAAAGTCCAGTTTTTGGGCGTCTAGGCAAAGCGTCTCCAGCAGCAAGATAGTATTAGACAAAGGCCGAATATATCATTTGCAGGTACATAATGCTCAAGTCGTACGCCCTCCTGGAGGTCAGTCATCGATGTTTTGAGGCAGTATACTCATGAAGAGGCTAGAAGCAGGGAACTCCTTCTTCTGGGAAAACCATGAACCTTCACAAGATGGAAAGTCCTCCGATTTTCTTTGGGTGGATAATGATTCGAAGAATGTCGACTTTACCTTTGAAAGTCTTCTTGTCAGCCCCCTAGTTAGCTTACGTGGATCGATAATGGAGAGAAGCCTGGCATTTATCTCCTCCAGTCTAATGAATTTGTTTTTGAATGTCTACAATTGATCTCTGTTTGTACACTCAATCAATCACGCTTTCCGCTTTGAATATTAAATTATAGTAGATATTTTGTTTATCTTATTCAGATTGTTCTTCGGATTTTCTAGAATCGTCTACACCCGCGTGTTTGATACCATTCCTGATTTATCCATCTCCGGTTACTCTTTTGCCTAATCTAATGTTGCCTGTCAAACTCAGTCTATTGCACACCAATGGGGGCATTTCTTCGACTTACCTGATTTACCTGTGTCTGCGCGGATTTTAGTGTGTGTTCGTGCCTTTCTTCATCTTCCACTGCTTTGGCTGCACCAGTTGTCCATTTGTATCGCTGTGTCACGGCTTTACTAGTATGCCTACCTTTACAGATAATGAAACCGTAATAGTGAAGTTTTACCGAGCGGCATGCCTTAGAATACTGTGGGCAAAACTCTAACATTCTTCTGTTTTTCTTCGACCAATTCAACACTTATCGCTACCACAGCAACCTGTAGTATTCAAAATATTCGGATACTTTACTAAATGAATGCTTCGTTGTTAGGCGGGTTTCGGTCACCGATTTCGTCTACCTGGGACCTGATGGAGTCTCTGATTTGGTTTAGGGGGAGGGGCAGGGCTGCAGTGAATAATTCAGTAAACTAAAAACATTCCCTCTATATTGTTCCCTTGTAAACAAAATTTGCTGTCTGCCTCGACTATTAGGACGTGACAAAGACACGGTTGTATTTGCTTTTAGGGTTTTCAGTCTTCAAGCCGTATGCCTTCCGTGGAAAAAATAGCATAAGTCTTGTATGACATTATGAAAATAACATATAGTGCTCGTATATCTTGGCAATCAATATGGAATGCACCGTGAACTTCATGTGGAGCATTCATAAACTAACAAATACGATGTGATTTGTATGGACATTGTAGAAGCGTAAAGATATTAAAACCGAATTGTGACCTATTTGAGAGTGAACATGTTGAATAAGGCGCGCTTTACTATCCAATGAGCACAATAAAAAATAGTTGGCTTATGTTTTATATCAAATATATTGGAATTTGTAAGGGCAGAAGAACGCGTACTACATACTTTATAAATTTTTATCGAGTGAGTTTCTTTGGGGGGCCGAAGAGACTTGCGTTGAAAATCCGGAATGCTGATGTGTCTGGACTATTGTGGATTATGTTACAGTATAATAGATGCCACAAACCACGTACGTCATCATCCCTAATCTAAAACGCATGAGAGAGGTCACTGTGTATATTGCACGTAAACGAAAATGACGACCCGCCTCGACAAGTAGAAGTCTGCCGAAACCGTTTCCGGAATTTTATGCGACTCTGTGTCTTGGCCTCTTGTTTTTGGTAGTTCTTAAAATCCCGAAGTATGATTTACAACACTTAGTGTCAGTGCTGTGGAATGTAGACTCGATGAGCTTTGGAGAAATCTTGTCCGTCGGGGAAGAATAATTAATTGAAAATTTTCTCGGAGATGTGATTAACATTTTTGTTCTGCGTAGAATTGTTGTTTGTCTCGTCGAAGGTCGACTTGCTATTTTATCTCTGTTCGGCATTCCGGGCACAATGTGGCGAAGCCATACGACGTTCCTTTTTATTATCCAGTTCAGAGGCGAGTCTATTTCCCCTTGGACCAAGTTTTTATTTACCAAACGCCCTTAGGTTCGACCTCTCGAGCGCTGCTCACATGTAAAAATATCGACTGACTCCTCAGAATCTGTTAAAACTAAATATAACAGGATACTTACTAGAAAATTAAGGGTGGAGTTGGATCGAGTTAATTCTCTCGCGCGCATATTTAGTTTAAATAGCAGTCTCTTTTTGCAAAGTTTCCCCAAAAATGACTCATTTTCAGTTGTTATCCTGGTTTCTAGTGTAAATCTTGTTCGGTTTTAAAAATACATCGATTTTAATCGGTCCTTCCATGCGAGGATACCAAGGCGGTCAACCGGACCCGTCAATGGTAACCGAAATTTTATTAGTGTTACTCTATAGCACTAAAGGAGTCTTTATAATAGGTGTCCACCTGAGCGTAGGAGGGAAGTATAGCTTTTTTTCAACCGCCCTGCAGACTGACATTCAAGTTTTTGGTCATGCACCTGGCAGAATACAGAATGTCCCAACAATCACTGCATAATTTTAATAATTCCTTAAAACTTACACGAGAAACTAAGCTTATTTCTATTCTTATAGTCAACAAAATAAGTTCATTTGCTTAACTTGTAATCACGTTTCAGTCCCTCGAAGGCTAGACCATACCTCCACACGAGTGGATAAACTTGCCGCAACCTTTAGCCACTATCGGAGGCAGGCCTCTCTGATGTTTGTTTCTTAACCCCTCCCAAGCAGTGACAAATCATGGTGCGTAATGACAACCACCTTGCTTTTGATATTACCTTCAAAAATGTCACACAGTGTGCAAACGGGTAGCACGGAGCCTACTTGAGGAGTCCCTTCGACCGATTCATCGATTAGGAAACCCCTTACTAACTCGGAGAAGTAATGAAGTACTGCGTCACTTCTGGATTAGGGTTGGGAAATAACCAACTCCTGCAGCATCTTTAGCTGAATTACCTCTGCAGTCGTAGCCGTGTTACCGAATTCAGCGCAGAATAAAAATTTCTAATCCACCCAGTTGCACAGCCAGTCAGCAGCTTTGGAGCGTCTTCTTCATGCTCCAGAATTGCTGCTAGGTTTGTGTCTCCTTAAATGCGACTGTTGTGACACATTACGCAACCAGAGCGATAAAAGACAAAGTGGCAACTGAACCACGAGCTTTCCAAGGCCTGAGGATAGTCCTGGTGATGGCGGACAGCTGATTTACACAGTTTTACACGAGCACCATACTCTTTTTCCTAAAGCGTTTGTAGGACCTAAAGTCAGTGCCAATTGCGCTTTCTCATTCTCTGAAGCATTCTTTGATGGACCTCTCAAGTAGTTCGGTGTTTTTAAAAGTTGTGATAGTAGCAGGCCTTTCGTTGCATGGTTTGTCAAGAACAGATCCTTTTGATACAACCGAGCACACGAATAGCAGAGAGAAATTAAAAAGAAATATATGCGAACGCTGAGACAAGGACTTTATTCGCCTGACGATGGGTTTGAGCGTGCATCCGAAATAGCGAATGAAGTTCTTGTCCCAGCAATCGCGTCTGCATTTTCATAAATCCTGTTTTCGGAATATAGCGCATATTTCGCTTCGTGTTGGATCAGTGTGAGGGTCAAAAAGTTGACCGAACTAGCGCACAGCAGTAGTCTGGACTTCAAAACTGACCAGTCGGCAACTTCGCAACGTTTCCTTAGCGTCCATTGGCGAGTAATGGGCAAAGAAATGATCGGCTTACAAAAACTACAAAACTTAAGCAGTAAAATGTTGATGGGTTCA